ATATATTTACTGAGAAAAATGGTGACGTGTTCAATACTTATTTTACCCATTGTATTATTATTATTATCATGATTATTTTTTAATAACTAGACAAGCTCAACTGTTGCCGTCAAGAGGCCGATGGAAATGAAGATGGAGAACAATGAAGGGAGTCCTGTAAAGAAGAAGCAGAGACATAAAAACCAACAAACATCTCAACCTGAAAGTTTCGATCCAGGGGTGCAAAAAGAAAAGAAAAGTAAAACGGTAAACAGGCTGGCAAAAGAGGAGTGTGAGAAATGTTGGGGTGAAAGTATTGAGCCAGAAGAGAAGAAGAAAAATAAGAATTTTGACAGTTTTCCCACGAATGAAGAAGACAATAGTGTGAGCAAAAAGAAAAAGAAGAAGAAGAAGAAGCAGATGATGGATGAAGTAGTAGACAAAGTAGAAAGTGTACTGCAGTGTGTAATAAAAGATAAATCAAAAAAGAAAAAAAATAAATCTTTACTAATCAAATCAGAAAACACGGAGGAAGAGGAACAGTATACTGAAGAAGAGAGGATTCAAAAGAAAGACGTGAAATTAAAAAAACGTGTTCGTCGTGGAAGCATAGAGCAGACTGAAGATGTTGGTAGAAAGAAGAAAAGGAGCAAAAAAGAAACATCTGTAACTATAGATGATGTAACAAAAAAGAAAAGGAAAGCTAAGGGAGAGGAAAATGAAATAAAGTTGGAAACACCAGAGGTTGAAGTCGAGGAGGTAAAATTGAAAAAGAAGAAGAAAAAAGAGAAAACCAAAGAATCTGGTGGGTTAGAGGCAGCTGAGATTAACAACAAGGAAAAAAGGAGGGCTGAAGATAAAATTCACCGTAAGAAAAAAGACAACTATACAGAAGAGTTTGTCACAGAAGAAGGGAAAGCAGAGCTGAAGACAAAAAGTAAAAAGAACAGGTGTAAAGCAGCTTCGGTGGAAGATGTGCAACAAGAGGAGACGGAACCGAAGAAGAGAAAAGCAACACTTGAGGAGTGGGACGCTGGGGAGGACACGCAGAGCAGCAGGAAGCACAAAAAGAGCAAGTGTAGAACAACCTCAGTGGAAGATACACAAGAAGAGGAGACAGAACCAAAGAAGAAAAAGAAAAAAACAAGACTAAAGGAGTGGGGTGTTGGGGAGGACACGCACAGCAGTGGAAATAAAGTCACAAAGGCTGCTGACACGCACCACAAAAAGAGCAAAAAGACAAAAGTTAAAGTCGAGCCAGAACTCAACACTGAGGCTGGAGTGAAAAAGATGAAAGAACAAAAAGACTCACAGGTGAGACACATCATATTGTACTGACAAAGTGTTTGTTCATTTATGCTATTGTTAAAAATTGTTTTTTTTAAACGTGTTGCAGAAGGCTTCTCTGCTGGACGTAGTTTTCATGTCAAAGAAGGCCGGAAACACTGATGAGGTCACCATTAATCAGGTAAACATGGTGTTCAGTATTTCTCCACCTTGTAACTGTTTCTGTGTAAATGYTAACATTAAGGCCCTGTTTACACGAGACCAGTCTCTGAAAATGTTYGTTTACTGGGGTGAATAAACAGAACAAAACACTCGTTTACATGGAACCACTGCAGTAATGTACCGGGCAGGGTTGCCAAATGGGACATAGTAAAGTTCCTTCATAGTATTGCTCCTTTAAAATCATCTTATTTTTTATACTCTTTATTTAACATTTTTTCATTATAACAATAAAACATACAACACACAGAACTGGGGGCACTGATACATAGTTAAATAGAAAACATTACAAGATGTTACACATGGTTATGCTTCCTTGTTCTTGTATGCCAGCCAGTTTGACCAGTGTTTGTTGTAAGAATGTCCTTTTATATGTAAAAGATATGTCAGTTTTTCCATAGAGTGAATTTCCTCCACTACCTCCCGCCAGTGCTCCAGCTGGGGAGGGAGTTTCTTTAGCCAAGACCGTGTAATAGCTTTTTTGCTTGCAACTGATAAAATTTTTAAAGGATACTCATCTTCTTTTTGAAACATTTCTCCAGATATCAGCCCCAGCAGAAAAGTTCTGGGGTCTTTAGGGATGTCATATCCCAAAATTATCCTAGTAGTCTGACATATTCCATCCCAGTAAGGTGCCAACTTTGGGCAGGACCAAAATACATGAGAGTGATTGACGTTCTGATGGCCACATAATCTCCAAAATTGCTGTTCTTCTCCTCTATGTCTACTAATAATTTGAGGTGTAATAAAGTATCTAATTTTTATTTTACCAAGTTCATGTACACAGTATACTCCACTTTACATGAAACCCTTTGACCTGTGAGCAGGAAGAAGC